TAGAGAATGATGAATCAAAATTAAAAAAATTAATTTGATCTAAAAATAAGATATATGCTAATTTCAATAAATGTTGAAATTAAATAGACTAAAATATTGTTTTAACCTATATATATATATTCAGAGACACATATGTATATATGTGTATGACATGGTGAGAAAAATCATATTATAATTACTTCATTAATTATAACACAGTGTGTGAATATTCCAGTGAAGTGGAGACACGAGCCTTTGAAATTGGAATAATTTAATTTATGAATTTCTTTGGCCATTAATTAATCTGATTGTTGAAAATTCAAATGACTAATTATTAATTAATGTTCATGACTGAAAAAAAGTGTACGGGCCGGGTCCTGTTTACCCAAAAGGCCAAGTGGGCCCTACCGTCCTAAGTACTACTCTTACCACTTTCTCGTAATAAAAAACTATACACACACACACACACACACACACACACACACATATATATATATATATATATATACATATATGTACTTGTATACATTGATATACTTGTTTATTGGGCCGAAAAGGCTGGATCCGGGTCGGGTTCGTTTAATTCCAATTGAATTAGGCAGTTCATGGGAGGAATCTGATATTTGGAAAGAAAGCCCAATATGGTCTGAGTTAACTCAAATGGATTATAATTCTTTTAAAAATATAATATACATATTTTATATATTTGATATATTTATATATATATATAATTTTTTGTTAATTTTTTAAAAAATAGTTCAATCCATATAATTCAATTACTTAAATAGTTTTAATCTTCGGTAAAAATCGTGTAATTATTTTAATTTTGATATGGGTTAATCCATTCTAATCCGATTTTAGACAATTTGAAATTAATTTTGTGTCGGGTTATAATTTCGGTAGGTTTACGAATAAAATTAATTTTAATTTCGAGGCTAATGGTTCAATTTGTTTAACCCAATTTAATCCGGCAATAGATAGGCTTAGGCTCGGCCTATTAACAGAGTTGACGGATTTGGGCCAATTTTGAAATTATTGGACCGAATAAGATTTGTTAAAAAAAAAATTTAATTAATTAATTAATTAAATTGATTTTAATATCGTGAAATAAAATATGTTTGATATTATTATATGGATTGCATATAATTAGTGTGTGGTGTATATTTCTTGGTCTCATTGTGCATGTACACTTTGTCTTCCATACAAAATTATGTGGTTTAAAACCATGTGACAAGTTGGTGAAGATTTCTCAAATGAGAATACTTACATAGAGTGATGAATGTATCATATGACAATATATATATATATATATAGTAATGCCATGTGTCATAATGGGTCGTCACAATCAATGTATACGTACACTTGTATTAAACATGAATTCGACATAGACACAAATCTCATATAAGAATATAAGAGAGTGCTCCAATTAAGCTTATAATCCATATTAAAGTCTTGTATTTATTGAAATTTGTATGTTTCTCCACATATAATTCGTAAATTAAGATTGAGTTTAAAACGATTTTTAAAAAATTTAAATTTAATTAAATAATAAAAAAAAAAGTTCGAACACACCGAATCTAAAACGAATTCATAAATTTAGATTGAATTCAAAACGATCTTTATGAAATTCAAATATAATCAAATAAAAACTCGAACACATCTGAATTTAAGACGAATTCATAAAAATCACATAACGAGTATGCAATATTTGATTCAATTTTGGTTTCTTGTCCTCCCTAATTGAAACTTTAGTCAAATAACTTCTCTTTATATTTGACAAATCAAAACCCTAACTTTGGATAAGATATATATATATATATATACACACGTATTAAATTAAATTTATAATAGACTATTCTTATTTTTTATAATAAAATATATAATATATGGTAGATTTATTATTTTTTATTAATATATTATAATAAAAATAAATAAAACTCCACAATTTAAAAAAAAAAATTCATGTGGAGGACATAATAATTAAAATAACAAATTAATTAATTTAATGACTAAATAGATTCCTGCCTTTGCAGCCTCATCTCTTCGTAAAACCACTCGATGAACTTCTCAGCTCTTTCATCAATCGATCCATCATCATCATTATCTTCATCTTCATCAAAATAATCCAACGGTTCCAAACACTCCCCTGAACTTACACCACCTTCAACGGTGCCCGGCAGACTCTGCACCACCCGATCCGATCTCTCATCCCCTTTACCTCTCCTTATTCCGCCCAAACACCTACAAAGAAACAACGCCGAGTAAGCCTCTCCAACCGTCCTTCTTCTCGCTCTTCCTCGTCTTCCTCCTCTGTTCTGCAACTGGGTTTTGTGAATGAGAGGAGATAACTGGTAGTCACGAAGGAAGCCATTGTTGAATAGCTGAAATCTCTTGAGCTTTCTCGAGGATTTCTTGAGGAATGAGAGTTTTAGGATGATGGGTTTTCTTCTTATTTTGGTGGTGAGAGCAGTTGAGACCTTCTGCAAGATTGGGAGTAGCAGCGCTCTGTTTCTTGCCATTTTCATCTTCTTGGGGGAAAAGAAGGGTGTTTGGGAAGTTTAGTTATCACAGAGGAGACATGAATGGAAAGTAGATTTAGGGTTTTTAAGGATTTGAAAAAGATGGATTGGTGGGAAAGATTAGATGAAGATTCAGGAGCCAACCTGTAAAAAGAG